TATGTTTAACCACTATAGAGACACCAGAGCCAGCAGCAAATTCCAGAAGATCCAGAATGGCCGCTGACGTCCTGGAGCTCAAATCTCTAACAACGTCGAAGCAAATTTTCAAATAGAAGTCCAAACAAGTACATTCTCACCTAAAAAGGTCTTAAAATGACATTCCGTGACAAAAACAGTATTATTTTTAAAATTATAGTGAATTTGGGCATCCGCCATGACACTCGCTGTGAGAAATATGGCAACTTCGGCAGGGGGAATGATACAAACGATGAAACGGCTGTTGGGGTTCTTTTGGACTGTAATACCAACACTCTTATCAACCAATCAGATTCGAGGACCAGAAAGAACTGTTGTATAAATATATACTGACCAATATGTAAAGAATTCTAGAGTTAGAGTTATACTTTATTGTCCTTTGCAGGAAATTTGTCTTGGACTCAAAGCTGCAGCAATACACAACAACCACACAAAACAACAAAAACAACAACAACACTTTTGTTAGTTAAAATACCATCACAATTACTACAATTTACTATTTAAAATCCTAATAGATACAGGTGTAAATGAATTCTTATAGCGATTACTTCTACATAATGGAATAACGCTTCCCTAACGGCAGTAATTGATATGTTGAAAATAAAACATTATTAATTCTATAAATAAACTATTGGTAGGTTGACCTCCTAAAGTATGTAAACACTTGATAGAAGCCAACCAAAAAAGCATTTGAACTTAGCTGAAATTTACAGGATGGTACTGTAATTCTCAGGGTTGGAGACCCCGGGGCTGGAGAGAAAGAACACTAAGAATACTAAGATAGAAAGCTGAAGGGACACCTAAAGCAGTGATTCCCAACCACATTCCTGGAGCCCCTCCAACACTGCATATTTTGCATGTCTTCTTCTTCTGATACACTTCTTTCAGGTCTTGGAGTCTCTACTAATGAGCTCATTACCTGAAACAGGTGTGTTTGATTATGGAGACATATAAAATTTGCAGTGTAGCGGGGCTTCCGCAACGTGGTTGGGACCCACTGATCTAAAGGACTGGACTTAAGGGTGCTTCCTATGCCTGGTTCAGACTACATGACTTTAAACGTCAGCAGATCGCTGTGCTGTTCTCAGACTACATGACTACAATGTCTGTTTTGAAGTCGTAGTGGTGTTCATACTACAAGACACTATGTAAATCAGGGGAGTCAAACTCAATTCCTGGAGGGCCGGAGCCCTGCAGAGTTTAGATTCAACCCTAATTAATCACACCTGATCCAACTAATCAAGTCCTTCAGGCTTATTTGAAAACTACATGGTATGTGTGTGGGAGCAGGGTTGGAACAAAACTCTGCAGGGCTCCGGCCCTCCAGTAATTGAGTTTGGCACCCCTGATGTAAATGATCTGCAACAGGAGGTCACACACTACAACGAGCTGACAACTCTGTCACCCAACTACTCTATCCGGAGTACTCTCTCACAGAAACCTTTCCAATGTAAGTTACATATTAATATAATAATTAGATATTACATATAATTTGGTAGAAAAACAGTGTTTTTACGTTTTATTGGTGCAAAGATGAGTAGTGGTGATATTTATTTTGTACAACATTTGCAACCACAAATTAAAATTATGTCATGTTATAGGGACTACTGAACAGACATTTAGAAGTTGATTTCAAAATGCAAAGTATTTAAAATTAAAATAAAGCTATGTAAACACTTGCATTTTTACAACACTATAAGTGTGTCCCATCAGGTAATGAAAAGTTCGACTCACACTTGTGGTCCCTCACTTGAACACTTGGGCCAAATACAGGAAATACGTCATATAAGTTGTCAAGTGGAACCCTGCAAACAAGCTTGCACTGGCCCTTTATGGGCTGCCAGCGCAGGGCCCCTGAGAATTTGCTCATTGGCAAAACGTTGGCCCCTTAGCACTGGCCCTGCACGTGCAGCCCTCACTTAGCCTCCAGGAAGCCTTAGTGCTGTTTTATTGAAAATAATAAAGTTTAAATTCACCGTTACGGAGGTAAGCGCTTGCTTTAGTTGGGCTCTTGACCCTTGACTTCTTAACTTTAATGTTTCTTTGATTATTCTAACCAATGTTGCCAACTGCTTTCAATTTAAAGTAGTTAAAACTGGTAGCTAAAAATCACTAGATGACATCACAATGGCAAATTCACTAATCTATATAAAGACAAATGTAGATCAGTGGGCAAGATGAGAATTTAGATATGGTTTGTCCAAGTAGTTGCTATGCTTGTCACTGAACTTTTGGAAAAGAGTCTCAAAAGGGGCGGGGAAGTTGCTAAATCTAGCTACAAAGTAGCTAAATTGGCAACACTGGCCCTAACTGTGTGTTTCTGAAGCACATTTGTTATAGCAAAAGTTATAAGAAAAACTGATCAGATGGTGATGATTACTTATTGATGATTCAGTCATCATGTAAAGTCCTGATTCACCCGTCCAAATAATTTCTGCATAACGACTAAAAACATTAAAGCAAGACAAAATTTCATGTTTTTGTATACTGTACAACAACGTGAAATAATTAAATCTAAATAATGTCCTCAGAGATCTAACTCTGGGTGAAATCAGAAAACTACATGACAACTGAATCATCACATCAGTTTTTCTTCTTACAACTTTTGCTATAACAAAAGTGCTTCAAAAACACAAACTAAAAAGACAAGGGTCAGGAGCCCAACTAAAGCAAGCGCTTACCTCCATAACGGTGACTATTATTTTCAATAAAACAGCGCTAAGGCTTCCTGGAGGCTAAGTGAGGGCTGCCAGTGCAGGGCCAGTGCTAAGGGGCCAACGTTTTGCCAATGAGTAAATTCTCAGGGGCCCTGCGCTGGCAGCCCTAAGTGCGCCCGTAAAGGGCCAGTGCAGGCTTGTTTGCAGGGAAGACCACAAGTGTGGATATTTGGACAAGGCAAAAGATGGCCGAGCACTGATCACCCGCTGATTTTCACCTGATCACAGCCCGACCTGTGGGTGTTAACTTGTTAACTTGCAAATTGGGCTTAAATCGGGCTTAAAATCCTGTAGTGTGAACTTGGCATTAGCTGATTAAGCTGGTCAGAGAGCTTAGTGAAATGAGACACCATAGCTGCCAGTGCTTGAATGGTGCCCATTAGGGATGTAACGATTAACCGCGAGCCGGTTGAAAATCGATTCAAATATGTGACGATTCAAATCGGTTGAGATGCTAAACAAATCGCGATTCATTTAGGTGTAGGAGTTTATATGAATGTATGTTGTTTTAAAATTTCAATTTAGTTTATTTACATTTACATTATATTTAAATTGTGTCGTTTAGCAGACGCTTTTGTCCAAAGCGACTAACTAATGAGGACAATAGAAGCAATCAAAACCAACAAAAGAGCAGTAATATGCAAGTGCTATATTAGTATATTATTATAGTGTTGTATTTCAATTTCACTAAGAAATGTGCAGCATTTTGTCCAAGCAATAATAAAAGGACACATTTAATTTATAATTTGTCTTAAATCTCATTTTGTTAAAAAAAAAATAATAATAATCGTGAATCGAATCGAATCGTGAGATGAGTGAATCGTTACATCCCTAGTGCCCATCATATTGTCTGAGAAGGGTGATCATTAAGTTAGGATGATCCAAGCTGGTCCAAGAGTTTTCTGGCCAGACAAAACAAGAGGTAAAAAAACAAAAAAACAATATTAGTTTTGTAAAAGTGATTGTTTTTCAAAAAGTTTTGTTTACCAACTTGTTCACCAGGGATACATGTGTGTGTGTGTGTGTGTGTGTGAATAACATGCTTGAGATTAAATACAGTATAACATGATATGTGAAGTAATATGTAGAGAAATCAAAGGAAAATCAAGACAAATATCAATTGTGAGCAGAATCATTATACCCTAATTTCCAATCAATTATTAATTGCCAAATTACGTATTAAAAAATGAACCACTACCACTGTCATTTCAATCACAGAATCTTGTTTCATGTATACATATACATTGTTTAATTTTAATTTTAATTTTTGAAGAGACTATTTTATAAAACTCCACAAATCTAATACTGTGGAAGAAACAATCATAAATGACCTCAAAGCTAAAGCCCGAAACACACTGCACGATTTTCGGCTGTCCCAGACGAAAGATTGGCATCGTGAAACAATTGTGGCGATTTCAGTGATTGTGAGTGAGGTTCAAAGACGGCTGCTGTCATGGTCTTGCGACCAAAGATAGCCTGCGTCAGAAATACAGCATGATCATCGCACAGTATGTTTGCTGCTACGATCCATGTTTACTGACCAGCCAATAAAAATGCAACATGAAATCAACGCGACATGGCACTAAAACATAAAACTACTTACCTCAAGCTCTTACACCTTCCTCTTTCACCGCTTCCACTTCTTTCAGCACACATAAAAACTACAACTGCTAAAATGTGATTTATCATGCTCTTTTTGTTTACCACTAGCGCATGTTGATGACTTTTATTCTTCTATAGTAACGTGCGTCGTAGCATACGAGTCATTAGGGGTCATCATCGTACAGTCTACACACATGTCGTAGCCAAGTTTATTAGATCCACACAGTGTGACATGCAATGATCTTATAGGATTGCTAAAATCATGCAGTGTGTCTCGGGCTTAACAGATTTACATGTACACCAGTAATGTGATTAATTGACAGCAATCAGAGTAATGAATTCATTGAATTGTGTTCACCTGACAAACCTCTTCACACTTGTTTACATGTAGTTGTCCATTAATGTGAATATTTTTAAGAATTGTGGTGGGTTTAATACTTGTATCCTGATATACAACACAAAAAAGTTAAACTCAAATGCAATAGACCTGTATATTTTAATTTACCTACTTCAAATGCAAAAAGCAGTTATAAGAATATTCTGATAATTATGTGGTGAATCTAGAGATCCTGTGATGAACTAACAGTTAACACTTTTAATTTCATGGTATATTTAACTTCCTCTCCTTGTGTGTTTCTTCAGGTCCCTGAACGTTTCCTGGAGGTAGCTCAGATAACATTGCGTGAGTTCTTCAGTGCTATAGTGGCTAGTAGAGATGTGGATCCATCATGGAAGAAGGCCATTTATAAAGTTATCTGCAAACTGGACTCTGAGGTTCCAGAGATATTTAAATCGGCCAATTATCTTCAAGAACTCCTGCGAGAGTAATGTGTTAAAAACTTCATATATAATTATTTTCATTCCTTTTTAAATGTATATTGATAATTTGAGATGCAGGATTTTACAGGATGGTTTTTTTTCCTTTTTTTTTCTTTTCTGCCTTTTCACAATTGAATGTATTATATGAAGTAGCATTATATTTATTGTTTTTATTTTTTTCATTGGGTAACCTTTAGTGTATCTCTCTACAGTCCATGCAGGCTATTGATTGTGGATTTCACAGTCCTGGGGCCTCGTTTACAAAATGTGCATATAAACAGATTTGATTTTAGAGTCTGCATACGCTAAAATACACACCAACATTCAAATTTATAAAAACTGTCTTTACCGAGGAAAAGTGCTTAGTGCCACATCAGGCTATAATCAGATTTATGCACTTTTCCTTGTGGTAGAATCAGAGTACTGCAAGTATTTGGAAATCTAAGCAATTCTTGTCGCTCTGCGTTCTAAAGTAAAGGATTTGGACGTTAACTGGTGCTCTGTTATATCAGTGGTTCTCAGTTCAGCCTCGTTCAGACTGTCAGTTCAAATCCAGTTTTTGTGAAAATCCGATTGAAATCCGATCATATTTAGATAGTCTGAGTGGCAACAAACTACATGAAATACAATTTTTGCAAATCCATTTCGAGCTACGTTTGCATGGTTTGAAATCCTATTCAAATCGCAGTCCTGGAAATCCATTTTAGTCTGACCGGTTAGATTGGATTTAGCTTTTTCACGTTCTCATGCCACGTAAAACAAACACGTCAGACGCTTTTGTACAAAACATGCTGAACGTCTTTGCAGAAACTAGCTTGTGATGTGAAGTACAAGTCAAGCGAAAAAAGACAATATATTGCTAGTATATGCACTTCTTTGATTTTTAAACCAGCGGCGATGGCAGCACAGAATAAAGCCACAAATTCCAGCTTCCTGCGTTTCTGTCGCTGCCTCATAAGATGAAATAGGGACTTTAAGCAACATAATTTTGAACAGTTGTGATACACAGTGTGGACAGTCAGTCATTTAGATTCGGATATGCACAAAAATCGAAAATCGTACTCAGTTTACTCCCTGAGTACGGGAAATTCGTTGAAGTTTACTTTACTTCGGAACATTCATTCACGGATTTGTGCTATGCCACTACCTGCACCATCTTCACACATGGACTAAACTTACGAGAAGTGTGACATAATATACCTCTGTAAATACAAATACAAATTAAATTCATGTCTCACACTCTTTAATATCCTATGAATGGAAAATAGTTGCTCTCTTCAAACTAGAATCATGGTGCAATATCCTGTAAAGTCCACTTCACAGGGCACTTACGGTCAAATAGTATAAACGTCTGACGTAATAAGCGATATATACACAGAGCCGGAGGTCATGAGGACTGGAATTGAGAACCACTGTTGTTAGATGTTAATTACATTAATTAGGCAGAGATTACAAGGCAGAGATCTGAACCATTCAGCTGCACACAATTTCAAGACCATTGACAATTTATACATTTCAATTAGCATATGCACATACGAAACATATGTACGTTTGTTCTATGAATCACACTGTGCACATTTGAGAAATTATTGTAAAATCAAATGTAGGACAGTTTCTACGCAACATTTTATAAAAGAGGCCCCAGGGGTCTAACTCTTTGTACCTCACGTAATACATCTGAAATGATTTGACCTGTGCCAGATCTTCTTGTTATAACTCATCTCTGGCTAATTTGGTTTTTCAAATGAATTAGCAGATTTGATTAAAATATCTGGATTAGGCTGTCTGAGATTACGGTGCATCCTGTTGATCGCAAAAGGCTAATATGTTTATAATCGAAAACCCTGCAAACAAAAACCCTTCAAATGGCAATGGTGACACCAGCAAAGAAATATAAAATAACTCTGCTTTGCTGAAAATACAGGATTGTGTTAAATACAGTAGCTTAAACATTGCCACTGTACGTAATCAGTGACACTGATTGTATACTATAACACTAAAAAAATTGCGCTGTAAAATAACAGTAAAATACTGGCAGCTGTGGTTGCCAGCATTGTACTGTTAATTTACAGCTCTTCATTTTTACAGTATGTTACCGTTATTATACCATGTGGTAACTCATTTCATTTGGAAACCAGTCGCTTCAAACCATTCAAGTTTTAACCCTTTAAACCCCACAGCAAAATCCTCAGTTTTAAAGGGGTCCTATTATGCTCTTTTACAATGTCTTGAATTTGTTTTGGGGGTGTACTAGAACATGCTCTCATGCTTGGTGGTTCGAAAAACGCATTATTTTTTTTACATAATTTACATTATTACAACACTTTTCTCCCCATCCTGGCACAAACGGCTCGATTAGTTCTGGGTTTGATGAAGGCCCGCCTTCCGAAAAAAGAAATGTGATGTGATTGGTTAGCTGTCCCAGTGCGTTGGGATTGGCGAACAGCTTAGACGGTGTTTCAGTACAGCCCCGCCCCTTGCCAAAGCAGCAAGTTCCGTCTGCTCCATATCAATTTGAGCCGGATTCAGACCCACAGAATATTGAACAAGAGGATTGCGCAGAACCTTTGCACGCACGGATATTGCAAGACATATTACAGTGGTAACGTTATTGTTGTTGTTGTTTTTTTTTGGCTAAATCACGTTTTAGATAGGATGTCAACTATCGCTTAAAATAACTGCATTTACTATGTACAGACAAGTGCATATATATGCAAACTCATTCTCTGCCAGCAGGAGGCGCTG